TCCAGAGAGCGGTGAAGAAGAGGGTGAAGATATTGAAATAAGTTCAGCTGAAGAAGCGGAAATGGAGTCCAGTAATGGATCATTCAGTGATGTGGCAGTTGAGTTACCTAAGAATACCAACTCTATAAAATCCTTTGTCAACAAATTCGGGAAGAAGTTCGTAAATGTGTCCCCAATAAATACAGAAGAAGAAATTAAGAAAAATGATTGGCTCTTGGTGGGTTTTCCCACTGTATCAAATAAAAGTAGCGCCAGCAACAACCTACGATTTTTTATTTGCCAAATAATGCAAAAAAATCCTAAAGGTATTGTGGGTAATTTTCTACGAGGGAAACCGACGAGAGATTTTTCTGGTTATATCTACCAATTTCCCGATGAAAAAGAACTGACCGAATTTTATTTTAACCAAGTTGTGGGAAAAGTAGAACCCCCAAGTAAATATTTAAGGGGATATTTAAAGTTTCAGGTTGATTTCAACGCTTTTTAATTTCTTGTTTGCTTTTTGTAGTTAACTATAACCCAAAGAATTCTTGTTCCGTTGGTCAAATATTATGTTATCGGTATTTATATAACTTTTGTACCTATTTTGAATTCAAATATGTACATTTATTTAAATAAATAGTTTAAAATATTTTTTAAAAATTAAAATTGTTGATCCTTTTCGCCCAGCGCGTTTAAATTTGATAAAGACCATAAAACAGTGAGTGATTCTATTAGCACCGCCTACGGGATGAATGGGATCAGAGCCAAAAAATATATATTATAATGAAACACGAAATCCCAAGAATATCAAGTTAATGATAAAAAGTCTTCAAAGAAATAAACTTAAAAAGTTTCATCTAAGTATTTAGACTACACCCTGTATAGTGATAAATTTGACAAGATCAAAAGTAACTAAATGTAGTGAGACAATGTTACCACACGAAAATTATAATTTTTAAAATGTAAATTTGTAAAACAATTACAACACGGATTTCAAAATAACCTATTAATTAATGAACAATAAATTATCATCGAAATTATGAAATAAGCCGTTTAAATAAACTCACCTTTAAAAAGCCAATAATCTAATTTTAAAGATGTAACTAAACTGTCAAAATTTTGATTGGCTAATTACTTTTTCATCCAACTTGATTCAAAAATCCAAATCAGAATTTGTTGATGAAACAAAAGAGAGTGCTAGAAAAGTAACGAAGGAGGAAGGACACGAAAATTTTTTCCTCCTAATTTTCTCTCCAAACTCCTTTTTTTTCCTAATAAAATAAAGAGACAGAAATATTAAATCTTCAATATTTATGTATAAGTAATTAACTAGTGTATAAATATCAAAGGTAACATTAAAATTAACTTACCCACGCAATATCACGTAAAACTGCTCGAAGACGAGTCCCCAGGAAGCCACCATTGCCGCTGTATGCACCGGCATACCACAAGAAAGACCCCCAGTTACCCAGGTACTTGTAACATCCTTCTGTTTATGGACGCTGAAAGGAAATAAGTTTAACACTTGGACATCTCATATTTCACAGTGCTATACAGGTATTTTAATTAAAAACTATCCTTAGTGACCAATTAAAAGAAAGTACTTACCATAATTGAGTACTTAAGTAATCGTAAAGACGATAAATCTTTCTATTGTTTGTACAAAATAACATCACAATGTTGTTTAGAAATTCTGATTTAATTAGGTTATAATTTCATATAAGCCATCTCTTGTCCGACTTGAGAAATTACTATATAGCCGGTCAAAAGAGATCTACTTACGTATTTAAAAGCGCCGTACGGTGGGTAGAACATTAAGCTTGATAGGTAACTGTATTTTTATAGTATAATGCGCCATTTTCGATCCAAGAATCGATCGTTAAATTACGAATTATTTTATTATTTTTGTTTCTATGTTAATTTTTACATTTATGTAACAATATTCTGTTTCTTTTTCCCACATTAGTTACAAAGAATCTTTGAACTCGCACTAAACCCTGATATCAATTATTTTAAATAAAACTGCAAGTTATACACAGAGTCTCAAACTTTTACTTATTTTTATTTCAATACAAGAGCTGACAATATACGAGGTACAGAGGTAAGTGTCTTAAATACATGGATGAAAATTTTTAAACCCATTAGCTAAAAGAATTGAGTCATATCTTTTTATTAATTGCATCAGATAACATTTCAGCCGGAGCATTAAGTATTTGTATGGAGGAGGAGGATTTGTGATTTAAATTATTTAAAGCTCATTACGATTATAACATCCCAACGTAGTGCTATATATTACAATATCATTTCCCCCATTACAATATATATGTGAGGGTATGTGCCCTATATAAAAACTAATATAGACATTTAGAAGTACTACCATTGACTCATGTTTTTAGCTAGACCGTAATATTTTAGAGCGCTACGTTTCGAAGTTACAAGCTTACAAAACCGACCGTATTCACCCCATTTTACGATACATTTCTACAAATATTTCAAATTATTTTACATATTATTAATATTTTTTTAATTTTGTAATTGTTAAATTAGTTGATATTAATTCTAGTTTTTAAATTAATCATATTTTCCTAATATTTTGTTAATTAATATTTTTTGGCGAGGAGTGGTAAAGAAGCGTATCTTGAGACGGAATTTTCATACATTCATAACAAAACCTTAATTAACTATGTTAGCCATATATGGTGTATAATAATTTAGGCGTTTAATTATCCTCGGAAGATACTTGCTAGGTTGTCACGTTCTGTAGGATAAAAAACTAAGTAATTTAAAAGTGACGGAGTTACGTCTGGAATTAAAGATCGTGAATTGGAGACGACAGGGTAGAATGCAGAGCTGATAGAGTGGTTTAAAAAAGCAATAGAAAGTGAAGGTTTGAATCCGGAATCGTATCTATTTTCGGATGATGCTACTTCTATAATTTTTTCAATTTCTTTCGCTTGGAAAACCAAAATCTCTGTAAAAAAATTAATTTCCTCTTTAGAAACTAAAGTTTCTTCTGACATTTATTCCTTAGAAACTAAAGTGTCTTCTGATATGACTTCTTTAAAACCCGAAATTTCATCGGATTTAGAAACTAAAATGTCTTTTGTAGAAAATGAAATTTCTACTAATAGAAAATAAGATTCCTTTTGTTGAGAAAAAAATGTCTTCCGTTGAGGAGAAAATCAAAGAAATAGAAAAGAAGATAGAAAAACACGTAGACCAGGCCAAGCACGGTGAAATAAAGTGCCATGAAGTGGAGTCAAAGTTGAAATTGGAAGGAGCTGTAAACTTTGATCGTGTTAAAGCTCCAAATTTCGACGAAAAGTTGTCATGGACAAAAAACCCTAAACAGTTCAAAACAGTTGCCAGAGCAAACGAATGGTCTGAAAGACAGAAGACAGTAAATTTGACTATCGCCCTGCGCGAGAGGATGTCACCTATTCAAAATAACATTTTTAAAAGGGAATTTTAAAATGTTACAATTTTAAGTGATTAGATGTCTTGGCCTTTGGAGATTTTGGCAGATTGAGTAAAGGTACAGCATTATCTTTCAGTTTTCACTTATTCCTCGGCAATTCCAATATTTTTTCTATAATGCAAAAATCTTCATCTGATAAATTCATTGAACATATTCTGGCATTTTTAATAATAAAATTAGGTTTTTGATAGTATTTTTCCACCCATAAATTTTGAGTCTCCTTTGCAGTTGAAAAAGTAAAGTATCGACAGTTTTTTGCTGTTTTATTATTGTTACTGGTACAACCAGTCACTGCACAGCAAATCATTATTTCTTAACGTAATATAAAAACAAATGAACAAAACAACTAAAATCACTTATTTACACGAAATTAAAACACAATAATCTGAAACAAGTTAAAAAAGTAATTTTAAAAAACCGACTCCAAAACTTGCAGATATCTTTAAAAAAGAGAATTTTAAATTTCTCATGGTTCGTATGATTCTGACCAATTATATAGAAAACTACCCCTAAGGTATCCCCTATGTAACAAAAAACAATTTTAGAAATCGAACAACGTAGTAAAGAATTATCGCTGAAAATATTTAAAAAGTGAAGAATTTGATGATTTTCTTATGGACCCCATTATTAGATCTTGACCAAATTCATATGGGACCACCCCTGAGGTACCCTCTTCTAACAAAAAATATAAATTAGACAACGTATTAAAACTTATTGGCTGACCACTCATAAAAAAAATGTTGACAAATTGAGAACCTCCTCCTTTTTGAAATCACTTAAAAAAAGCGAAATAAATTGTATGCATTTAGCCATTAACTTCAAATAATATGCTCAAAATTTGTCACGTGTTGACGTCAGCTGAGGAAGAATAAGAGAAGATATCATGCGCGTGAGCTTATTTGTTTGTCCTAATATCATGAAATTTAGTTACTAGCAAACTAGTGAATGTCACCAAAAATCGTCTAAGAAAGAGCTTTATGGGAACCATGCGTCATGACTTTAACGCCAACTGGTGACAAAAATGTGAACTGTATGGGGGATTTATTAATGTTTTATACGGCATTTATTGTTTAGTAATTATTAACTAAATAAAGTCGAATTATTTTCGTGATATCATTACCATAAAAACTTGTTGCATCCGTGGATGTACAAACACTTTGGAAACCTGGATTTGATTCGATAGTAAAGAAATGTTATGCACTTCATATAAAGGTTTGGATAATTAAATAGAAAATGGGAAAGGCAGTTATTACTAATAACGCAGGGGAGCAGCTGTTTTGTTGTCGAGGTCTTTTGAGCTGATTCTATATCAATTTGATGTCCTAAATTCAAATAACGTATTCATTTTTACCTAGGAGCTCAAATTTTTAAGATATACAATTTTAGAGAAATATAAGTTACATTATTTTAACTCAAATCCGTAAGTGTAGTAAACAAAAGTAGATACGAAATTTTTATTTTAGTTATACAAAATACAATATTATGTCGTACTTACAAACAAAAAAAAAACATTAAAGAAATCAAATAGTCACTCATCACTTCAAAAGCTTCTTTTCCGCGTCATTCTTGAATGTTTTTTTAAACACTCCCTTTTTAAACTCCAGCAGTAATCTGCCATCATGTGCATATCCCATCTTCCTTGGTAGCGGTCCTCCATAACTTTAATATCTTGATGAAATCTTTCACCTTGTTCCTCACTCATGTCTCCTAAATTTTCTGGAAAACGGTCTAAGTGGTTGTGTAAATAGTGTATTTTAATACTAATATTGCACCCTAAGGATTTGAAACTATTAAGCATCTTGTTAACCATTTCAAAATAGTTTTGAGCTTTATGTTTGCCTAGAAAATTTTCTACAACTGCAACAAATGATGTCCAAGCTTCTCGTTCAACTTGATTCATTGAATTTATGAAGGCAGGATCCTTAATTAATTGTCTTATTGGTAGGCCGTCAAATATCTCTGCTTTGAGTTTTTCTGTACTCAACTGATGCATTTTTACCCCTATATATGCAAAACATGACCCATTCTCATCAAGAGCCTTTACAAATTGCTTCATTAAGCCCAACTTTATATGTAACGGAGGAAGTATGATTTTTTTTTTCAACCAAAGCGTCGTTAATGACATTCTTCTCCCCAATGTCCATGTTTTCTCTTTGAGGCCAATCTTTTTTAACCCAGTGGTGTGTTTTGTCCCTACTATCCCAGAGGCACAAGAAACACGGATATTTTGTGTAACCACTTTGCTTCCCAAGAAGAAAGTTTACCATTTTTAAGTCTACACAAATTATAAATTGATATTCGTGATACTTTATCTTCTGCAAGACCAAAGCTACGGTATTATATTCTTCTTTCAGTTTCGTTGTGTGAGCTAGTGGTATTGAACCATATTTATTCCCATTATGTAGAAGAATACATTTTAAACTTTGCTTTAAACTGTCAATAAATAGGCGCTAATCATCTGAAATATATTCAGAAAGTCCCATTTCTTTCATGAGTCCATTAATTTCATGACAAAATACAAGATTATTTTCTTGAGAAAAGAATGATAGCAGATACTTTTCTCTTGTATGGTAAAAGGTAATTTTGGTTCCTTGTTCCAATAAATTTTTGTCGTTCAACCTAGAAGTCAGTACTTCAGAAGCTTTATTCAATAAATTGAGATCCCTGGTGAGATCATTTAATTCATTTTGATTGAATCGTTGAGGAACTGATGACGTCTCCTCATAGTCACTGTTAGTTTTGTTAGCATCAGAACTTTTATTAGCATCAGAACAGCAATCAGAGGGAAAATATTCGTCATCAGAGATATCTGGTAGCTGATGAAATGTTGGAATCGGTATTTCATCTGAGTGCGGGATAGGGCGTGTTGCCGAGTCTACATTGGGATAAGTCCACTTACTGCGGTTATTTCGATTGATTCCTTTAGTATTTACTAAACAGAAATAACAATCATTGAAGTGGTTTTTTGGTTCTCTTCAAACCATTGGTACCTACGCCGAATTTCAGACATTTTCTTTTCCCGGTAGTCCACTGCCGTAAATGCTCTGTACAAGTTTTACATACGAGATGCGGGGCCCACTTTTTGTCCTGATCACCAAGGTTAACTACAAAATATCCAAGATACCCTCGCTTTACAAAGTCAGTAATAGTTTGTCTGTTTTGTTGAAACATGTATTCTCCGCATATATAGCAAAACATATCAGGTTGATTTACACAACTTCTTCTTGAACTGGAACCTGAACTCATTTTATTTCTGTTCAATAACACAAAAACACTATTTTCTTAACATAAAATAACACGCTGAATTAGATCTACTATCATTGGTAAGAACGCACAAACTGACGAGACTTACCCGAGTTAGGGGATTAAAAGAGTCAGTTCAGATACCTGATAGGCAATGGTTCCACTATTTATAGATTTACCTGGAATTTACTCAATTACAGACTGACAATAAAACCATTGTACCTACATTAATGAATATATAATAATTTTAGAACTCTCATAAATGAATATACTGAATGAAAACCACATTGGTATCTATTTATGTATCTAAAAAGTAGAGCTCATAGAGAAAAACGGATTGCACGTACAGATTTAGCGTCCCAAATATAGTTAAAATCAGCTATAAAATCCAGGCACCAAAAAAGAAAATATTTTTTTGTTGCCCTGTGTAATAGGTATGCGAGTTTGCTCCCACCACTTTACAAAAGAAGATTTCATCCCTTCAGGTTTGTAATTTTTTTAATAGTATTTTTATTAATATTTGTTATTAACTTATTAAGAAGAAATATATGCTTGTGTCTACTGCAGTACCTAGTTTAAATTTACCTTAGCTAAAAGCTAAGGCAGGACATTAATCAAAAGAAAAAGACTCCAGCAAAAACAAGAGTTATGACTACTGTCAATAATAATGATGTTTCCAGTACTAGTAAAATGTCAAGCGGTGGTCAAGTGTTCAGCTAACTCCTTCAGTAAATGGATGTAAGTATGCATAATTTAAAATTTTTGGTTAATTATTGTTTAATGTGTTTTGCAGTTAATGAAAATATATCTACTACTGAAGCAGATAATGAAAATATGTGTGCTGCTGAAAAGCTTGCATAATTTACAAAATATTCAAATAATAAAGAAAACATAAAACAGAACATAAGTATAATTATGACTCAATAAAATAAACAATTCAACAAAATGCTCGACTGAGCAATGACAATGACAACAAAATCTCAACTAGACTAAACTTTGTTTTAAACCGGTTCTGTAAAAGGTTTATTTACCAGAGAGCACTCACAATTGAGACAAAACACAAACATTGCACGTACTCAAAAACATTACAACTAAGAAACCAAATTGTTTACATTTTTATGTGGCAAATCATTATTCCCTCCAGATTCTCGTTTATTGCGTCTTTGCTTCTATCAGTCTGTAAAAATTATTTGGAGAAATTACTTTCGAAAAATAAAATTTGATGTATCCTATAACTATAATTTTATATTATATAAATAAAAATATGTTTTTAATCAAATTATTCTTTAAAGTTTTAATATAAGCTATTTTTTTATTAAAAATCAATATTAATCTGAACAAAATATTAGGGTTGCAAAGAACTCCGTAAATACGGTAACGCTGAATATCTTATTTTACAAATTTACAACTAGTACCTATTTTTATGAATGAAATGCAACGTTGCCAATCGGGTCTAACAGCTATTTTGTGTTTCTGACAGTTTCTGAGAGGCTCATTGATTTATTCATTTATAAAATACTATTTTTGTGAACTTTAGTGAGAAATATAAAGAAATATGGTACACGCATGTGTAGTGTTCAATAAGGTAGATCATTTATATCGAAATTTATCCTTTCATCGGTAAGTATTTTTAGGTCTTAAGACTGTTTTGACTATACAATTTCTTGTACAAGATTTGATACAATTTCTTATGCAGGTTTGATAATATACAATTTGAATTGTACAAGAAATTGTATCAAAAAGTTGTGTAGTCTAAAACAGTTTTTAAAGTGATATTCCTTTTATAAATCAGTAAATTATTCTTATACCAATAAATAATTATTGAATAATGGCAAAGAAAATTTAACGTAAAATGTAGAATACCTTAAAAATAATTTGCCTATTAGGCACCTATATTTTTTAATATTCTATTTAGGTTTCCGCAAGATCCTGAGAAAAGAAAACTTTGGTTTGCTCTAGTAGAAATCCTTGAAAATCAGGCCCTTCGTAAAAACTCAGAGTTGTGTTTAGAACACTTTTTTCCTGAAGATTTTTTTGTTACGTGCAAATGGTGCTAAATATATCAGAAAAGATGCAACCCCCAGACGGTTTGAGGGTTTTCTATTTTTAGATGACTTATTCAACAGGTAAAAACAAAAAATATTAATTTTTTGTTTACTTTTAAACATTATTTATTATCTATATGTATGTATATATAATGTATGGGTTTTTAGTTCTGATTCAACTGTTTTTGGAACACCACCTGCTGCAAAAAAAAACATTGCAATAAGTAATAACACTAATAACTAAGTATAAAAAAATTAATTGAAATTTTAGTTAATAAAATTAAGATATTTAATATATGTAAAACGTTATTTTAAAAATTTTTTACCGTTTTTTTACGATATTTTTTGCCATACTATGTTTTTTTTATAATTATTAATTAAAAAATTATATATTTTTAGGACAGTGTTTTATTTAGATACATCTACCTACTTAATATCAATATAAAATTTTAAATAATTTTGGTTATCATACCAGGCAAATATATAGTAAATTCCAATAAACTATAAATCAATAAATATTAAAAATCGGAAAGTAACTTGACTTCTCTTGTATTTGAATTTACTTGTACTTGAATTTACCTACTTGAAAAAAATCATCATAATTATATTACTAAAAAAATATACCTACTTATTTACGTATTTTTTTAACATACTACTCTGACAATACTGGTAAGTTTAAAACTCCACGCCACTGGCAAGCATATTATGCACACTGTTTACAACGTTGCCAGCCGGTCCTAAGAGATCTGTCTTTCTCTCTTCCACTCACTAACAATTTTAAAACAATAACAGTCCGCAATTGTATGGGATTTATGAATGAAACATTTTGTCTCTATGTTGTAATGTCTTTGCACGTACTACACAAAGAGAAAATGTCTCCCAGTTCGGCCCGCTTTTTATCATTTTATTTACGTATGGATGAGCAGTCTATATAAACTATATAATATACCATTGGTTTAGACAGAATGAATGAAAAATACAGCATTTTAAGAGTTTCTGTATCCGTACTAACACGTAACACAAACCCATACATTATTGAGATCGACAAAATGTTCAGTTCTCTGTAGAGACGACTTGTTTATCACGTAGTTGAATAAAATAATATCCGGTTTTAATGAAACTGACATTATAACACATTTAGATGCTTTTATGTTATTATGCATACGTGTGCACCTAACGACATTTTACAAAACCATGTTGATGGGATGATATCATGGGTGAAATATAATACTCTAAATGTTTGTGCAAAAGGATTTCGAAGACTTTACTAACATTGTATATTATCGATATTGGTATAAAATTCGCAATATCAGTTTTGTCACCTTTCTTAAATATAGGACAAACCTTAGAAATTCTCCACAAATTAGGGACAGTATGAAACTTAACGTACATATTTAAAATAAGCATTAGATGTAGATTAAGACTTACAGCAGTCTTTAACTATAAACTCCGGCAAATTATTTACTATGTCCTTGATACCTCAGTTGGTAAGAGCACTGTGCGTAGAACAGGAATAGGTGGCTTCGAATCCCTCCGTGGGTAACATCTTTTTAAAATTTTATTAATTTGTTTTCACCTTGGGGGTTCAAAAATAATTTTCATTATTTCGCAGAGGTAATACCCAGCAAACCATTCTGTTACATGTTCCCTCCTGTAACATAACTAAGAAGGATAAAATATACTTAGATTGTCCTGTATGCACTTT